CGCCCGCGCTCGCTCCGCTCACCGAAGTACCATCGGAGCGCCTCCGCGCCGTCACCGCACCACTACTGTCACTGTCACCTTTTACCACCACTGTTACTACTGTCGTCGTCGTCGTCGTCGTCGTCGTCGTCGTCGTCGTCGTCGCCGTCGTCGCCGTCGCTGCCGCTACCGAAGTCGCCGCTACAACGGGCTACTATCGCCACCGACGTGCACGGCACTGCTCTACCACCTTTACGGTTTTCGCCACTTTTCCGCACGTTCCATCCCCGTCACGTACATCGTTCCACGCAGCGAGCGGTGCCGTCGGCCGCGCGCGTGCCGTCAACGCGGTCTCGTTTCACTGAAATTTTCACGTATCGTAGGCGCGGCGGAGGCTGTTTCGCGACACTATACAGCGACACTGAGTCCTAGTTTCGGAGCGAGCTGTCTCGAGCGACTCCACGATCGTGCAGTCTCTTCCCTACAAAACTCCCTTTCGCTCTTTTTTTTCCATACACATACACAAAGTACACACACACATACACTACTCTTGGACGCACGTTTTCTTGCTTTTCTCTCGTCCTTCTCTTCCGCCTATTACGAGTGTATTTCGCGACGCAATCGTCAGGTCGCCACTGCTTTCAATCCGTTGCGAACCGCGCTCCACCACGCACTACCCGCTAACTCGCGACCGCGATCAGGCTGGGATGTGGGATGTGGGATCGCTGGATGGAGTCAACCGCCGCGTGACGGGACGCGGTCGGCAATTTCCGTCGCCATGCACGAATCCGCCACCAGTGCTGGGTGAATTGCGGGCGTTCGCAGCACCCTGGCTTGCGATTCCTGTCGAAAAAATTCATCACTCGCCTTGTCTTTGAGGTTAGGAAGCGATCGTCTTTTGCAATGTCGACGGCCCGTCATAGGCCATCTGGACGTTCTATTTTGCGATCATTGGATTTCCTCGTTTCGGAAACGGAGAAATACTCTACTTTTCCTCGATTGGCGACCCGATTCTGCCGATTGGAGACTGATGACTTCCATCGGAAATTTACGTAAACAAGATATTCTATAACGGAGTTGTATATATCATTAATATAAAAAATATTTGAACAATATTCAACATTTGTTTATATATGAAAAAAAGTTTTATTTATAGAACACAAACATTAATTAGTAATCCATTAACAATGAGTACGTTCTGTTTTAATGTAAACAAAAGAGCTCCGCGAAAATAATCAAGTTAAATTTATCGATTATTTAAATTCGTATTTTTTGTAAGTCCAAATAATTTTTCATTATCATTTATTACGATAATATATTTTAGCATTATTACACATTTTTTTAAGTAAACAAATTTTGAGAAATGTACGACCTATCTCTTTATCAATAATTTTTTTTATTAATAATGTTTACTTTCTAAAAATTGGTACAAATACTTTTTGCACTCACTGTTTGCATTGGCCGCGCAATAAATAGTTTTAATCGTGGCTTGTTTATTTATTGAATAGAAATTCGAAAAATTTCGTTGAATATCTCAAACCTACAAGTATTCGAACGATTGTGCCAAAACTTTTTCAATGTTTCATATCGGTTTAATCTCGTTTTATCCCATGTTTACGTTCTCTCAATCGCGATACATGTAAAATGCATAAAGATAATAAAAGAGAAATCCACGGATTATGTCATATCAGTTGATTATCTCTTATTTTATTGTTTCGATAATCCGCCACTTATATTTTCGCTACTCTTACTTTTTGACTTTTGAAACATATAGATATCTATTATATTTTCATCGAACAAAGCAAATTTCGTCTTTGATTTTCGTCTAATCCTAAAATATCTAAATACGTATGTATATCGGCTGAGAGAATACGTGTACATGACTATGACAAAATGACAATAATTATCTACTTCACAGCCCGATTTAAGATTTCTAACCTTTAGAAATTCTGTAATTAGAAGTCTACACAATAAAATGTGTCCTACACATTTATAAATTTAAAATTTTTAAAAATTATGAAACTTTGGCAATACGAAGAAAATATCCTGTAGTAAGAATTTTATTTCCTGCTTGAATTCTCTCTGAAGAGGTAAAATCAACTTTTGAAAATTATTTTTTATTTTTATTTTATTATTTACAATAGAAGCTAGAGCAAAATTTTAGAGAGAAAATTTGGTAAATATATAGAAAAAAGGAATCTAATTTGACATATTGTCAAAGTCATGGTGACCTCTAAGAGATTTTAATTGGCGGTATTCGTTAAAAAATTATTAAAAGAAGTTCAAGACATATCTTTTATTATTAGTAGTTTTATTATTAGTACATACAATATTAAATATACTATACTTTATACCTTTCTTACAGGACATAATGAGGGACTTTTCCACGCGAAGCTAAGCCATCCCACTTCTCATCCCTCTCCCCCTCCAGTCTAGGGACGTACGACACTTCATGCGGATGGATCTTGCTTCACGTAGAAGTTGTGCGCCCCTAGGCTGGGAGATATCAAACATTTTAACAATGAATTTTATAGATGAAAAATTGAAAAATGAATTTTATAGATATCTTGATTAAATGTTATTTTGATTAAATGCTATTTAAAAAACTCGTTTTTTTTAATTAATACTTTTCTCCGAAGTAAAAAAAAACTACTTAGTTGATTAAAAATAAAAAAGATTGTATTTTTCATCTATTGTTGTAAGGAATAAAAGCCTAAAGTTTCGTAAGAGAAAAGCGTGAATTCAAAAAAATTTACGACGAAAAAAAATTATTCCGCGCAGAAAGTACGGATGTACTTATTAACTCGGTGTTTTCACGGTTCGCTCATCCAACATTGTCGGAGGTCTTCGCAATGTTAGCTTCGACGTCGCTATATAGAGCACGAGCGTAACAGTTTCCACCGTCGGTGATTTCCATTCTCCTTTCGCGTCGCGCCACGCCGCACTGTGCCGTGCCGTGCTGTGCTGACTCTCGTTCGAAAAAGTATGAAAACAATAGGATTGTGCCGGGGCCAGACCGGTGAGTTACAATCGCGCTTGGGATCGGAGCGAGGACGAGCAATTCCTAAAGTCCTAAGCACTTTCACGCGATTACGTCAGATGCATGACTTTAAAAATTTGGTTTAAAAACAATATAATACATGCCAACGAGCAATCGCGTTTCGTCGGGTCGGGCTGCAAATATATTTGGCTAAATATAACAGACATACAGTTTTTATCCCCACTCTAGCGATTTATAATAATGTATTATATGATTTATAATAATGTATTATATGACGTTTCTCGCACTCGGAGTTGTCTTCTTCTCTCTCTCTCTTTCTTTCTCATGGAAAACTTCTTTCTCTGCGCAACGCATGGTATATTTAAAAACAGGCTTTGCGATTTAGTATGTAATATTAAACTGAATAGCAATCGATCGTCACGTGGCGAAAAAATTCCGCTCGTTTCAATGCTCATAAAAGAAGAAACCAACGAGACTTCAATAAAACCTAAATAACATCTTATATATATATATATATACATATATATATA